TTCCATTTCTGTTGCCAAGGAGTTCGTTAAGGGTAACGTTCATCCTAACGGCGTCCCTGTTATTACTCTTGATCGTCCTAGAGCTCTCAACGCCATGACTTTAGGTCAAGTTTATTTTCCTTAGCTTCTATTTAGCTTTGTTTTTCTCTAATTGTTTACCATCTACTTAGATGATTATTGATAGACGTTAGTTACTAATTGCTTTTCAATTTGAGCCTTTTTAATGTTAACCTTCTTATCGTTTGAAGTAAATCATAAGGACTATTATTTCGTTTATTATAGTTGCAAGTCTTGCAACACACACTTTATCACGGTATTTAAGAAAAATAGACCTTACAAGATATAATACACTTAAAATGGGGTTAAGAGGTTGTTATGAGTATAATCAAGTGGGGCCATGAGCTTTAAATAAAGGTTATACGGAATAGTATAATTTTCACCATAAGAGCTTTTCTTTTATAATGTGTTGCAAAAATTGTGACATTTTTATTTTAAGAAAGTGTTGCAACTATAAGAGAATGAAGGAAGTATAAAATTAAATGCAAAACAACATGGGTTAGTCGACATGACTTTGGCCCGATCTTATACAAGCCTATAGTAAGTTTTGCACAATATAAGAGGCATGATGGTGGACCATTATGAACATTATTTTTAAAATTTGATATAGAGCCTAATATATAGGTGGCCTATGTTTCGGCCTACTCATTTTAAAACAAAATAAAGAGGCTTATTCGTAATACTTCCTCCGTTTCTTTTTAGTTGACACGTTTTTTTAGTCACGTTTGTCAATGCACTTATTTAATTATTAATATCTTTAATTATCGACAAGTAAAAATTATGAAAAGTTGATATTTTGAAAGTATATAACGTGACGAATCTAACAAGATCCCACAAGACTATATTTTTTATTACGTATAAAGCACAAAATACGATCAAAGAAAGCTGGATGAATAGTGCTAAAGTCAAAACGTGTCAACTAAAAAGAAACGGAGGTAGTAGATCACAAGTGTTCAACAAACACGATTTTCCCTTATCTGCTTGAGTATGAGGCACGATGACATGACATATGGGCATGTACAACCTTGTTCGTGCCCAAATTTAATAGAGTACAATACATGGAAGGGTATTCTTTTTTTTTTGGTTCCACTAACAGTTATTTAGTTAGTTTGGTGCAGATATGGAAATTAAGTTCAAAAGCTTACTTGATGAATGGGAGGTGGACCCAAACGTGAAATGTATTTTAGTAGAGAGTAGTTGTTCACCTCGTTCATTTTGTGCTGGTAATTCATGTTAACTCAAATCCACCTTTATTTTGGATGATTTACACAAACTTAACATTTTGACGTGATACTACGTTTAATGTTACTACGTTTAATATAATTCATGTTAACTCAAATCCAAATATCCACGTAGGCTTGGAGATACATTTGAGGTAATTTTTTCTTTAGAGACAAACCGCTACCTTAAGTAGCGGTTATAGTCTTAAACCGCTACTTGAGGTAGCGGTTTGTCTTTAGTACTCTAATTAAAGATACAGCTAATCAATTTATAAAGGGTAAAACCGCTTGAGGTAGCGGTTTTAGTGCAAAACCGCTACTTGAGGTAGCAGTTTTACTCTAAAAATAAAAAAATAAAAAAACCCTTATCCGAGCCTACATGGACAGTAATTCCGTAATTAAGTTTCATTCCGACGCAAAAGTGTAAATAAGTTTTAAAATAACCATACTTTCGTAAATCATCCCTTTATTTTGTACTAGTTTCTTAGCATCTGATGATTCCATTGTATTTATAACTTGATCTTTAGGTGGTGATGTGAAGTATATTGCTGGAATTCAACATTTATCAGCTCTGTTCGAGGTTTGTGTGTGTATTATTTAGGTTAATTAATTGGATGATGAGTGTTATTGTCGAGGTCAGTAAAATCACGTCAAAATGAGAGTCTAACATTTAGGAAAATGATGCAACTAAAAACAAATGGAGGAAGTATAAATCATATAATTGCCTCTAGAGTGAAAAATTTCGCAAGTGATACTACGTTTAATGTTAAGTTTGATGTGTAGAGAATTATAGACTACCACATGGATTGCAATTGGTGCAAATGTGACCAAAGAAAGTGCAAAAGTGAGATATGAAATGTTGCCTCATATTAAAGTGAAACGGGGAAAAACAATTAACATATAAGATTAGTATATCTACTCCACCTATTATCAATTGGTTTTAGCTAAAATGAAACTAAATCGGACTTGTATGTGGCTAGGAATTAAGCGATTTCAAAAACTTGACAAATCATCAATCATCAATCAATAACTACGAATATATACTAAAAGACACATTAGCAATGACACATGTCATCTCCTGGTGTGTCTTTAGTGAGTATTTTATATGGTTGAAACATGAGAATGCATGTCAATTAAGCATGATATTCTATGTTTCATTATTTAGACAGTTTATATAATATATTCTATCAATTAAATGTAACATTATTCTATAATAAATAATATGGACTTATGAAGTAATAATAACCGTGCATAGCACGAGACCTAACCTAGTAATTTGAAATTTATATGCTAGATAACAAATAAACAAGTACGAGTACATATGTGTGTATTATTTTTTTTTTTTTGTGCTTAAACTCCACTGTTTATTCTATCCTTATGCTTGGTGTGCTTGTTGCCTTGAGTCTATTGATAGGTATTCACGGCGGAGTATACTTTGATATGTAAGATATCCGAGTACAAAAAACCGTACATTAGCTTGATGGACGGCATAACTATGGGTTTGGGTCTTGGCTTATCTGCCCATGGCCAATACCGCGTTGTGACTGAGGTGCTGCTATAATTTGTCAAGTCTCTAGTAATTTTTCTGAAGTCATTATTGCAGAATACATTCTGATCTTTCCTAATAAAATTGTAACAGAGGTCTCTTTTAGCTATGCCAGAAAATTGTATTGGTGTGTTTCCTGATGTAGGGTTTTCGTAGATAGCTGCAAACAGTCCAGGAGACGGGTCAGTAGGTAAGCTAGCCTGATCTTGGGACCGTTTGATGAAAAGAAAATGAAAAGGCCGCGTTTAATGTTTGTTGTCTCTCAACACGGTCTAATATGTTATTGTTGTATCTGCTTCTTATGGGATCTACACTTACTCTATGACTGCTGGCCTTAATCTTTTCATTCTGCAGGTGCTTATCTTGGTATGACTGGTAAAAGAATATCTAATCCGGCTGATGCTTTATACGTTGGTCTAGGGACACACTTTGTGCCATCAAGTAACCTTGGATCTTTGAAGAAGTCTATGTTGGCATCCGCTTTGTATGTACATCCTTTCTTTTTGTTCATCCAGTTTAGGTGTTGTATTTGATTGTCAGCAAGTCATGAAACTATAAGAATGGACTTAAGCTATACGTTGCTGCATTATTATGTCTGCATTACAGTTCTAATAAGCCGAATTTTGACAGTTCAGAGGATCCTTACCAGGATGTTGCAGCAATACTGTCAAAATGCAGCATCAAGCCACATTATGAGCCACAACTGAAGCTTCTTTTGCCCTACATTGCTTCTGCCTTCAACGCGAACAAGTCAGTAAGTGAGATATTTGAGGAATTGAAAAGGCATCAGCAGAGTTCTGAGGACATAGGTAAGCTACCCACTATTCTGTAGTAATGTCTAGAGGTCAATGTTCATTGTGTTTCCTTGTATATCTGTTATGCCTTTTCGATCACACTCTTACAATCGTGGTTCGTTCTGCAGTGGCTGGATGGGCCAAGGAGGCCTTGAAAGGGCTTGGCAGAGGGGCTCCATTCTCTCTTTGCTTAACACACAGATACTATGCCAAAGTTGCATCAGCTGTCAAAAATAATGATGCTCATCTGTCTACTGTGAGTCAGAAGTTTCTCATTTTAATTCCCTTCTGTCAATTTTACATACATATCCCCTTCAAAATTCGTTTCCCTTTCTTTGCTCATGTCTTGCTAAAAATCTAGGTGATTGGAGTAATGAAACTGGAGTATAGAATTATTATAAGATCTTCGCTAAGAAAAGATATCATTGAAGGTGTCCGTGCTCTTTTGGTCGACAAAGATCAGGTCTGTCTAATTTATGCACAGCAAATTCACATCAAATTAAATGCAACAGCATTACAAAGGGCTCTTTGGTTTGGCATAATTTTTTTGCCTGCATCTCGAATGTGCAGTGGCACTTATAGTGATGCTACAAGGGGTCTAGTCATGTTCTTGTTTGACAATTGTTTTGTCTGTAATTTCTTGCATCTATTCTAACAGCTACTTATAACCTTTGTTGTTGAATTTACATGGCTGCTGACAGAATCCAAAATGGACGCCGTCTAGTGTCAAGGAAGTTGACATGCAGGAAGTAGAGGCTATGTTTGAGCCATTTGAGCCTTACATTCCAGAATTGAGGTATAAGAGCTCTAAGGGGATTTCTCTTTCAGCCAAAATTTGAGCGAAAAATGTATCTTGGAATTTATTCATATTCATAAACCAACAACCCTTAATTTACACTTCTCCAAATTTACATGTATATATTCCTATTTGTATGAACTAAGGAATGGACAACTAAAAACAATCCTAATTAAAGAGTCATAATCATCAGCAAGATACTGTTATATGATGACCGATGAACAAAGGGAGATACAACTCTTCTAGGGATTGTAGTATGTGTGCCTCAAATACTCCTTAAATTAGTAGAGAGATCACAAATTGTCATTCAAAATAAATCAAAGTCCAAAGGGTCCTTAATATATACGAGTATGGCAAACACAAAGCCAAAAGAAGTTTAAGATCAAGATTCTCGATTTCTATGTTGAAGTTCTACATCTTGAATGTGTAATTATGTATGTCTTAAATTTTTATTGGCTCGGGAATTATCTAGTTTTATTAACATTTTAACAATAATTGTCGCGTTCATGATATACTGGATAAGTATAAAAGTAAAGCCTAAATATAGTGGGCCTATAAAGGCATGCAGCACTTCAAAGAAAAGCCCAAGTCAATGAAAAATTGCCAAAATCTTGAAATTAACATGTTATTTGCTCACATAGCAAAAATAATACTCCTGTGACTCTGTGATACAGAAGAGGAGGGCACTAAAATTGTGCCAAAATCAATTGGCCGCTAATCACCAAAAAACAACATAGCAGCGGCTACTTTACTGCATTCAAGAATTACCCACCCTAACGATATTAAGTACTATGAAGTACAAGAGATTACAGACTACCATCAATTAATGAGTCGCTATGATATGGTTTAAGGAATGTACACACAGATGAGTCATGTACTCCAATTGCATGAGCTTAACCTTCATCAGTGTTATCTGTGTTATCTGTGTCACTCAAGGCCTGAGGTACCTGTGCGGGTATATATCCATTTCCGTTAGGACCCAGTACCTGGTATCTGTTCAATTAGAAAATCAAAATATCATGAGTTGATCAAAGATTTTAATGGAACACAGAAGCAGAAAGCTATTATTTGGAGGCCTACTTCATATCTGTGATTAGGGCATTTTGAGACTAATGAAATCAACAAGGGAGCACTTTGGAGAACTTGGGAATTAGGAGGATTTATGGTTGAGATAAAATGCAATATTTGCATGTCACAGTTTTATAGTTTGAGATTACCTATTGCTTGCAACTGTCAATCACATGCTTTCATATTTCATCATATATGAACTCATGGAGCGATTGGTCCAAAAGCATGCCATTGTGGAATGAAGCAAACAATAGTCTATGAAGAACACAAGCAGCTTTGAAGTCTAAAGTAATATACAGACCTCTCTAGTACAAATTTTCCTTCCTTGTACTTCTGAATCTTCTCGTATGCAGCCTCCTGCAATAAGTATTATTTCGATGATGATTGCTTGTGGATGAAACTGCCGAAACAAAATGTTAAAATGTTTCAAAGAAGGTTATTTTACATATTTCCATCCAACAAGGGAGCCACATCCAACACAGAATATGTCTACCACTGTGTGCAGTCCAGTCAGCATCAGACGCTCTTCTTTCTCCCCAACAGTGACATTCACACTGGATCAAGGAACAATCACAAAACAGCATTATTTCTAGCCCATAAAATAATATCAAAAAAATAAAAATAAAGTCACAAGTATAATATAAAAATTGTTTAAATACCATTGAAATGCTTTGTGATGATACTTGGACCTTAATCACTTACCATGACATACCACACCCAGATGGCCAGATACCTCTAACAAATCATCTGCAAAGAATGAGCCTTACACGCAAAATTACCATCACCCCTAAACGCAAATAGGTTCTTATTATACCCTTGGAACCTAAAGGTAACTAATTGGCCTTTCGCCACACACTAAAAGTAAAGGACATTTTGGTGAAAGGTGTGAAAACATGATTTATTCCATTGCAATCCAACTAGAAAAGTTTTGAATTATTCAGAGATTAAACACGTAATTTTGACTAATACTCAAATGTTATTCCTAATTTTATGATCCCAGAGACTATCAATTCATACTATCAACTCTGGGCATTCTTTCATGAGTTAGTAAGTTCCGTTCATAATCTGCAAAGGAACGCGTTATCTCTGCCTCTAACTGTGCTATAACTGGCAAGGGATAAACCATCACTAAAAAGAGATGAGTAGTTAGGAATGAAGATTCACTTACATTTTTGCAAAAAGATAAGCCTTGCCATGACTGCTGTGAAATGACTGAAACAGAGGAAATGCATTTTGTTAGATAACGATGTTCTCAATCTAGGAAAGAAATAAAGAATAAACATAAAATGTGAGAACCAAACACCCTCAAAATCCTAATTGGCCTCTGACAATTTAGATGAAAACCAAATTTGTGTATAAAGTCACGCAGGCAGATTAATTATTTACCATTCCAAGAGGTTTAATGATTCTAAATATTAGTATAATCCAATAGGCAAATTTTCCAATTTGAGTCATTGTTACTGATATTCCTTCTAAAAATTGTACAGTAATTGCATTAGAGGAAGGGCAACATATGATTGATATAATGATATGAAGAATTAATCTTTTGCACTAATGTTTAAAACAAAACACTTGATAGAGGATAACTACATTTGCACATAGGGCACTTAAAAAGAATGAAGGCAATAAACAACAAGCCTCAAAAGTCAAAAGCATGGAATTCTCTTTGATGATCATGATCTGAACCTGAACATTACATGTAAAAGGGTTACAGGTTTTTTTTTTTTTTTTTTTTTTTTTTTTTTTTTTTTTTTTTTTTTTTTTTTTTTGACAACAATAAAACCTGGAGAAAGGTGTGCCTGACCATTTTCAATTGATGTTTCAACCAGCTTGTTTTTGAACATTTATGGACACTGTCACACTGATAAATGATAAGCATACGCACTCTAAGACTTAAATGTGAAACAGTAGGATTATTTTTTGGTAATAATATTTTACATTTATACAAGATAAGAAGGCACAGGGTTCACTGAGGGATATATGAATAATGCATGTCATTGAAAGTCAAACCCTCAATCACTGATAGTGAAGCTTGTATATGGACCAGCTTAATAAGAAAAATGCATGCAATAATTTTTATGTAGGACCCTACAGAATCCTTTCCTCCTACTCATTTGAAACACAATCTATATGAGCTACCATAGTCGAATCATTCCAACTTTTATTGCTCATCCTTTATTCCCTTATTCTTTTTTGGTACACAAACACAAAGCCCAACAAAACCCATGAACTTTGACTTTTGAGCATAGGTGTCCAATGGTATTCCTTAGAGCATAAAGACTACTAATTCAGCCTGGAAACATCCTATTGATGCTTGAAGATTAAAAATTGGGTGCAGAATTGTCAAGACTCTGGAGTACTAACAGTATAGAATGTCAAACCTTAGGATCACACCCTCCATTAAAATTCACAACAAAAAGTTGCTTCAGTAACATGTTGGGAAGAGATTTGATGTTCTATAACACTGATGTTTGATATCATTCTTGGAATTCAATTATGACCTTCACGAACAACGTATGTAACATATTTACCACTTTCAAATACAATCCTAAAGGATCTAAAGTGCAGAACTAAGGTTTTATAAATAAGAAGATTTCACTCCAAGCCATTTTTAGCAGCTGGGGATCACTGGCCAGCAAGAAGCTTCCAATGTAATTGGAGAATAGTTCTGAGCAGAGTAATTAACCAGCAGCTAGAGTAATGTTTACGGAGAATGGCATACACTGATACCATTGACCTTTGTGGCTCTTATAGTCTTAAGCAGTTAAGCCTTTCCCACTCCCTCTCCCCTTCTCCCAATTTTAAATTTTTAAAGAAAAGAAAGATAATATAGGCAGATCAACTACCAATAATACAAATCAAATATGTTTTAGCCTGTATTTAAACAAAATTTACTCTCTATCTAATAACACTTAAAATATTTCCTATTTGAAAATCTTTCTGCAGCATTAATTCTAATCTTCAATTCATCTTACGTATCCTTGTCAGATGCTCAACAGTTAAACAAAAGTTTGCAATCCTTATCAGACATTTAAATTTTTACCCCAACACCTCAAGCATTTTGAAAACCACATGGTATGTGCTCAAAAATGACTTAAGAGAATCATAACTAGGGCTAGCAAAGAAGTAAATCTAAAATGAGAGAAAAGCCATGCAAAACTCTTTCAAAATGAGAGAAAAGACATGCAAAACTCTTTCAGTATTAAAAAAATTGTTTCATTAATGCCATATCCCCATACCTGTGCCTAGTTTAAGAACACTACCTGAACAATTTTCAACCTTGGGTTGCCTAATATTTGGATATATACCCGCACCCAACACCTGCACATTAATGCCTAATAACACAGTTATCTACGCAACTGTGAGAAGCAGTTCATGTCATACCTGAAAGGCCAACGCCTCAATATTCAATCAGTTTCTTACTGTAGTTACACTTCTATCACAAAAGGGTTTAACACACTTACTAGCCAAAGAAAAGATTGCCCAAATTGTTGCCACACTTGCTTCATAGTGTTTCCATGAAACAAAAACTATTTCAATAATAATATACACCCTTATAAGTTGACAGAAGCTGCTAAGCATCACCGGAATCAAATCCCATTAACTTGACCAAACCTCTTTAAACAATAAACATCTAGGTCAACTTACACTAATTGAATCAAAAATGCTCCTCGGCCACCTATATAGCCTCCTTGATTATTACTTCTATTCTTGAACTAAACACATCATAATTTGATATCAAAATCAATTAAAAGTAGACAGTCTAGATCATGAAATAACATAAGTTTGTTTGTTTGTCTTTTTTTTTTAAAAAAAAAATTTGAATTATTTCCTACGGAGTACTATTTCATAGTCCAATCTACACCAAATTGCTTAAATATTTCACCCATCATCCCATCATTTTTATAAGCTCAATTTCCAAGTTCCAAGGACCGCTTTTCGATTCAAGAAAACCCCACAATTATGCATACCATAACAAACTAATTCAAGCAATAGAACATTCAAAACAATCACAAATTCAAGATCATTACAAGAAACCCTAATCATTTCAATAACAATAATAATAATCTGAACAAGAAAACAACCTCAATTTTCCCATAATATAACCAACCAATCAATCAAACACAACGTAAAAACATATTCAACAATTCAACAAACCCATCAATCAAACACAAAGAAAATCTCACAATACTTGATTTCAGCATTCATAACACGCAAATTAGCAACTACCCATGAAAGATTAACAGACTAAAATGTTCATAAAATTAAAAGATAATTCATACAGTAAGAATTTTACCTTAGACATGATATCATCCATGAGGCCCAGGTGGGTATGGCAATGTTTGCAACGATAAATCTGGCCTTCCAATGTGATAAAAAACAATCTTCCCATTATCAATCTTTTGCAGATTAACAAAAAAGCAGAGAAAAATCAATCAAAGAGATGAAATTGAACGTATAAATTGGTACTTTTATAGTAGTTGTATGTGGGGTAAGTATTTGCAAATGCAATGCAATGCACGCTTTTTTGCAAGAAAAAAAAAAGTAGAACTAAAAAGGGATATGAATGAATGAAAATTGTGTGTGAGAAAGAGAAAAGAAGAGAGAGAAAGAGAGCAAAAGGAGGTTATATGCATTGATCGTTGTTCCCTGTTTGTTTTACGGGGCAATGATGACATGGGAGCCTAACTCGTTGAAAATGAAGTTTGCTTAGTTGGCTATTTGCGTGTTTTAAAGATGGGGCGTTAATGAGTCGAGACAAGTTGAGCATTATTCACTCGATTGAGTTAATTATTTGTGGTTAAGTTTGCTTATTTAGGTGAGTCCGAGTTCAAATATAAGTTTCATACTGAATTGAAATTTTGTGCAAGCTCAATTTGTCTAGTAATGATTTTATTGTATTCAAGCTTGGTTCTTGAGTAATTTGTTTATTAATCGAGCTTAAGTTTATATATGAGGTTTACTTCATTCTTGGATCGTCCAATGAATAAAAAAAATGAATTTCAACTCATTTACCTTGCATTTGTGTTTTATATTTGATGAATTTTGAAAGGCAAGTTGGATTGTCTAAATGAGTTTGATAGATTATTCGTTAGCTAGTCTTGAGGATGGTGTAATGGTGTATGTATGAAAAAAAACCCCTCTGATGCCAAATGTAATTACAAATGTGTTTACTTGGCTCATAAAGAGCATCCCAAGACCCAAAGTAAACACATTAGTAGATTACTATTTCTTCAAAAAAAAAAAAAAAAAGAAAGATAAACACATTACTAAGGTCTCATGGAAAATGGACTCAGCCAAGTTATGATTATATTGACAGTAGTAACTAACACCAATGAAACTTTATAACCAGAGTTGAATGAGTCTCATATGTCCAAAGTTCTCCAGGTCTATTCACTGTGGTAAGGTTAACTTCGATAACTAGCCAAATGTAATTCAGTGAAACTATGCCACTATGCACCGTTATTCATTGTGAATAATCTACGCAGAGTTTAGGAGGATCCCTATAACTCCATAAGAGGGGACATTATGTAGCGTTCCCAGAGTCTGGGCTTATTTCAATTCAAAACGAATGGACAAAGAAAATTGCAATCGCAGGCAGATTCAGAACGCCTATCATACTTCTGTAAACAAGGAGAAAAAGTGCATGTCCTGTTCGTAATTCAGTAAGATGCACAAGAAAAAAGTCAATGAACAGAGCTTTATCTTCCCTTCAGAAGAATTATAAGACTCTCTCACTCTAGTTACTACCAAAATTGCCAGAGCAACAAACTGCACCAAAACCAAAAAATGAAATATAAGTGAATTCCCTGTTAGTAACCATATCCTGAGTAGACATATTCTGGACATCTGCCTAGTCAGCTCAATGCAAGCCTGTGATGAGGAACTACTCTCTCGACTTTGCCTATTCGATGAGGTGGCCACAAAATGTGTGTGACTCTACCTTGGGCTAAGCCTAGAGGAACCTGTGGAAGAAAGCACAATTCTAAGGTCAGACTGGATACATCTTGTCTTGCTACATGAAAACAATTTCCATACATTTAGATGTTGGCATGTCGCAAACATATCAGTTCAGAATGATAGGAATGAAGTGTACGACTTCTCTTTGCTTAATGCTAACTCTTAAGAAAAAAAACAATCAGATTGCTAATCACAACATCCACATGATCCACCATTAAAACATGTGAGCTGAATACATAAGTAATATTTTGGATAGTGGTTTTAATGATTTTATGCCATGCACCAAAGTCATTAAATCTGATACTGAATTTCCCAAAATAGTAGCTCATAAGGTGTTGAGGAGATATTTACTTGCAGTCTTGCAGATGAAGGGGAAAAAAAGAAAAATTAAATTACAAAGAATTATTTTCATGCCAGCTTGTCAAGGTTATGCCTTTGATAGCTTGATGCATCAGAAAGCAATTTCAAATTCAGGAAAAGAAAATTCCCTCCCAAGTCAGCAGGATATATCCATAGCTTCTTCAATGGTGAAAAGGTAAATGAAGACCAAACATGTGCCAATACAGGAAATTTCCATTATCATTGACAAATAGGATACAATGAAATTATTTATCATTGAATGCTACATAATAAGAACTAGCAATGTTCAAGAAAGCATCACTTCAAGTGCATAAAGTCATTGCTTATATTCAAGTTCAAGAGATACAATGAAGTTCAAAACATTCGAGGCACTATTTAGTTTGCATATAATATCTGGAATGGGATGGGGAATATATGGAACTGAATGAACAATAGAGTACAATGTATATGGAATAACAATAATTATTCTATCTGTAACTAGATCTTGTTCCCTCCGTCATTTAACCCTCACCAGACTTACCACCACTACCACTTCAAAGCAGAGCCTCTTAGTACAAACCTCACCGGTCACCGCCACACCAAGTCTAGGGACAACAAACATCAGGGTGTAACTTGATGTTCAAAAAAGTAAAAGGGGTAGCACTACTTGGGAAAGGGGCAAGGAGGGGCATTGGTCCTCCTAGAGCTGTCAATTCGAGTAAACGGGCCGGGTTTGGGTCGGGTCAACTCGGGTCGGGTCAATTCAGATTAATTCCATAACCTATGCAGGTCGGGTTTGGGTTGGGTCATGCTTAAGTCGGGTCACGTCGGGTCATACTACTTATCGGGTTTGGGGCGGGTTTAGGTCAGGTTAATAACAGGTCGGGTGAACAATAGGTTGGTTTCGGGTTTTCACGGGTTAAAAAGGGTTAGGGTAATTCTCGGGTTCGAGTCGGGTTCGGTTCAAGTCAATAATTTGCGGGTTAGAATCAGGTCAGGTCACTCTCGGGTTTGAGTCGGGTTCGGTTCAAGTCAATAATTTGCGGATTATAATCAGGTCGGGCCATTTTCAAGTCGGGTCATTCTTGTGTTCAAGTCGGGTTCGGTTCAAGTCAATAATTTGCGGGTTATAATCAGGTTGGGTCATTCTCGGATTCAAGTCGGGTCATGTTCAAGTCAATAATTTGCAGGTTACGATCAGGTCCGGTCATTTTCAAGTCAGGTCATATTCGGGTTCAACTAACTATAAATAGATAATTATCATTTTTATTAAGCTAATTATTTCCTTTGACTATAATATATATGGCAATATACTAGGGAACAATATTCCGGAAAGGTATTAGGGACCATTGCAAACATTACGACAATTTTTATTTTCGGGCGAATAAAAGTCAAAAAAATTCCAAATTTGAAGTCTAATAATCACGTATTTTGCGAAATTTTAGAGGCTTTGGAGCTCGGTGTCGAAAAGTATTGAAATTTTAGGGAATACATTCCGGGGTCATATAATGCCATTTGGAACTATATAGGATCATTATATGTTGTCATAAATGTTCGTGCTAGGCTTAAGTTCATAAAATCAGTGCAAGTTGTAAACCAGTAAATTGGCCGTTTAAAGGCAAATTGGATAGTTCCACCTAGGGGTGAGCAAACCGGGTACCCGGTCAAAATTTTAGGACCCGGACTTGGAATTGGTTGGAACCGGGTCCTAAAATTCGGAACCGGAATTGGAATTGGTTAAACCGGGTCCTAAATTTTAGGAATTGGAATTGGAACCACTGGGTACCGGTTCCGGTTCCGGGTACCCACTTATGTATGTAATTATTAAAATATAATACAAATTATAATTCTTATTTTAGTTAGTATCATTATTAGTGTTTAATACTTATATTTATATATGCATTAAGCTATTTGTATTCATGTTAGGTATTAATAATACTTTTTTTATTGTACAAATTAGATACATTTAACATATTTTTATTATTTAAAATTTATTTAATTTAGGATATATTGGGTAACCGGGTACCCAACCGGTTCCGGGTCCAAAAAGTTGAGAATTGGAATTGGAATTGGTTATAACCGGGTCCTTAATTTATTACCCGGAATTGGAACCACCGGGTCCAATCTCGGTTCCGGACCCGCCGGTTCCTAACCAGTTCCGGTTCCAATTCCGGGTACCCGGAATTTTTGCTCACCCCTAGTTCCACCAACCCAATTGGATGCCCGAAGGGTATTAAGGAAATGGTAAACATTTCGGAACTTTTTTATTTCCGGGGGAAAATAAGTCAAAAAATTCCAAAATTGAAGGCTAATATCCATGCTTTTTGAGTAATTTAGGAGGTTTCGGGACCCGGTGTCAAAAACCTTAACAATTAGGGGATACATCTCGGGGTCATATAATGCCGTTTGGAACCGTATATGATCATTATATGTTGTCATAAATGTTCGTGGTAGGCTTGAGTTAATGAAATCGATGCAAGTTGTAAACCGGTAAATTGGCCGTTTAAAGGCAAATTGGATGGTTTCACCCATCCAATTAGCCTCCCAAAGGGTATTAAGAAGCATGGTAAATATTTCGGCAATTTTTATTTTCGGGCGAAAAAAAAGTAAAAAAAATTCCAAAATTAAAGTCTAAAATCCATGCTTACTGAAATTTTGGAGATTTCGAGGCCCGGTGTCGGAAAGCCTTGAAATTTTAGGATTACATCTCGGGGGTCATATAATGTCGTTTGAAACCATATATGATCATTATATGTTGTCATAAATGTTCGTGGTAAGCTTGAGTTTATGAAATCGGTGCAAGTTATAAATCGGTAAATTGGCTGTTTAAAGGCAAATTGGATGGTTCCACCCACACAATTGGAATCCCGAAGAGTATTAGGGACCATGGTAAACATTTCGGTGATAAGTGGTTTATTTGACCACTTATTGTGTTAATTTAAACCCGGTTATGCATTCATTTCCCCTTCTTCTAACCCGTTTTTGAATGAAAATGTTTTATCTTGGCCTTGCCCCCTCTTGGTTTGTGTTTGTCCATGTTTTGCAGGTTTATTGATTCAATTTGGCAAGCATTCGATGCATAGATTTTGTTTAAGGCAAGAAAATTAGAGAAAGGAGAGTCCGCTCCAGCCGGTGCGGGCGTGCACCTCTCAGGGCGCTCCAAAATTCCTGTAAACTTTCTGCCTAGTGCACCCTTTGAGGAGCGGGTGTGCACCTGTGAGGCGCGAGCGTGCACCTGGGAGGAACGCCCAAAATTTCAAAACTGCCTATACTCTGAAGTCAGCTGGAGAGGGCGTGTAGCAAGCTGGAGCGGGCACTCCTCGCTTGGAATCCGTTTTCTTTTGACGGATTTCCCTATATGTTTCGGGGAGTATAAATACTTCCCCTTTAGGTCATTTGTAACCTAGACAGAAATAGCCTAGATTTTAAAAACTCTTAGTTTGAAAAATTAATTTAGCTTAGTTTTCATCAAATTAATCATTGTAATAGTTGGTTTTAAGATTTATCCTCAACATTTGGCACTTTGTATTCAACATTTCCAAGCTTCAATTAGTAACTTCCTTCTACCTTTCTCCATTAAATTTATGATTTTATTTGTTCTTGCATGATATTTAAATCTCTTTAGTTCTTGATAATTTGTTATTGGATGATAGTTATTTCAATTGTTGATCACATTTCCCAATTATTGAAGAAAATAGAACCCTAATACTTGTTTGCATGTTGATAAACATGAGTTGTGAGTAGTCTTCTTGCTAGGGGTTGGGTGAAGCTCAACCTTTTGGGTTAATTATGCAAATGTGGGAGAAACATTGATGTTTGTATTGCAATTAAATTGATTATATGAGATTGCTTGTTAGTTCTTCATGATAGGATTATCTACCCTTGACTTAGGAGCTTAATAGCATGATATGCTTAGTTTGACATGGGAATGTAAATTGAGTATGTCATTACTCATTGCAATTTTATTATGTATCATCTATTGCTAGACTAATGAGGAATCTAAGTTTAGTAGAGTGAGTTGTTTTCTAATTGCTGAGGTCGATTTTACATATAGTCCTTGCTATACCTTGTCTATTTTACTCCCCCTTTGCCTAATTGCCTTGATTGAGTGGATCCAATTCCCTAGTGTATTTAATCCATCGATTTAGAAACATAGTTTGTTTGTCTACTTGACGAACCCCAATTGACCATAAACTTCGAATTAGCTTAAGTGTTAAGATCTTTAGCAACCATATCCCGTTCTTTGTGGACCGAACTTTTACTTATCATTATGCTTGGTTTGTAGGGTGTTTGTTAATAAATGTGTTTAATTGAGTGTGGAATGTGCGACCGTTCTAACGCCCATCAAAATGGCGCCGTTGCCGGTGAACGGTGTTGTTGATTGCTAATTGATTACTTGAGACTAGTTCACCATAAAACAACAAAAATTCAAAAAGAGTGTTTCTTTTTGGCTACACTTGTAGCCTTGTTACTAATTACAATTGTTGAGAGTGTATGCGCAGAAATCATAACAGGATTTTGGTGCCTTACGATTCCGAGATTGAGCAAACCTATAGGAGGAGAAGGAGAGCCGGTTCTAGGCCATTAACTACTTCCCCAACTAGGGTGGTCAATTTCGAGGAAAGACAAGAGCAAATGGCTGATGGGGAACAATCGGTCCAAAGAA